CTGGACCAATAAGCAACATCATGATAAATGGAGAAAATACAGAAGTTGTTAAGGATTTCATTTTACTTGGATCCACAATCAACGCCCATGGAAGCAACAGTCAGGAAATCAAATGACATATTGTTGGGCAAATCTGCTGCAAAAGACCTCTTTAAAGTGTTAAAAAAAATAAGACATTACCTTGAGGACTATGGTATGCCTAACCAAACCCATGGTATTTTCAATTGCCTCATATGCATGTGAAAGCTGGACAATGAATATGGAAGAACAAAGAAAAATTGATGCATTTTAATTATGGTGTTGGTGAAGAATACTGACTATACCATGGACTGCCAGAAGAACAAACAAATCTGTCTTGTAAAAAGCACAACCAAAATGCTCCTTAGAAGTGAGGATGGTGAGTCTCATCTCAGGTACTTTAGACATGTTATCAAAAGGGACCAATCCCTGGAGAAGGACATCACGCTTGGTAAAGCAGAGGGTCAGCAAAAAAGAGGAAGATTCTCAAAGAGATGGACTGACACAGTGGCTGCCACAGGGGGCTCAAACATAAAAAAGATTGAGAGGATGGCTCAGGACAAGGCAGTGTTTCATTCTGTTGTACATAATGTCCCTACGTGTTGGAAAGGACTGGACGGCACCTAACAACAACAGAGGATGCCTGCATTTCTTGACTCATGACCCGCTTTCATCCAAGATTAAATTGTTCCAAACTCACATCTTTTCTAATTCTCCTGCCTCCCCCTCTTTCACTTATAAGGGCCCTTGTAATTACATTGGGCCAACCCAGATAATCCAGCATAATCTCCCCGTCTCAAGATCCTTAATTTAGTCACATCTGCAAAGACCCTTTTGCTAAGTAGGTAACATTCACAGGTTCAAGGGATTAGAATGTGGACATCTTTTGGGACATCTTTTTTACGTAAGGGAATGATAAACACTGACTTTAAGAGAGCAGCTCCCTCTGAGGGTGGGAAGGAAATGCAGTCAGGGAGAGTTCAGGGAGATTTCACTTGTATTTGTTTTGCTTTATTTCTTACACAGACTGGTGAGTACACAGGTGTTCATGATATAATGAACACATCTTTGTATGTCTGAAATATTTTATTTTTAAAACCTCCCTTTTTGTCTGTATGCACAGCAGAGGGAAAAAAAATATGCCATCAATTAAGTCAGCCATTGAAATGGTCAAGAAACCTTGGAAAAGTGTGGTAGACCAGGTGGTCTGAAAACTGTACTTGTACAGCTTTGTACTTGTTCTGTATTTCTACTGCATTTTTGAAGAGACAAGAAGAGCTATGATAAGGCCAATGCCCAGAGAAGTAAAAGCACCCTAGAAAAGAGAAGGAGCAGCACAGAATAGCAGTAGAAGTGTGGGACCAAGTTACTGAGAATGTAGGGGATACGAGAACAAATGACTGCGTAAGAGTTTTGTAAGAACACCTTAGAGAAAGTGAAAAAATGAGGCAGGAAGCAAAGCCCTAAGGGCAACAAAGCAAAAATAGAAGGAATTAAGATATAATGTCACTGAAGAAAGCATCTCCAAGTCCCCTCAACAAACACGAAGTGGACAGGAGGAGACCTAAGAGTACAGCTGC